AGGAATTTGAAATCCCCATTATTACTTGGGAGTCACAAAATGTTCTAGCAATTGAAGTTCGTGATAAAGACCACTTTATTGACGATGCCCTCGGGTTAGCCTCTCGTCCTCAGTAACTAACTGGAGTTCTTCTTGTCTTTCACCTGACAGTTAAACCATCTTTTTATATGCTTAATGTTTGCAGGAAGTGCACCGTAAATATTAATGACCTGAGAGATGGTGAAAGACACGACATGTGGTTGCCCCTTCAGGACATCAAAATGGGTCGACTGCATCTCGCCTTAACTGTGCAAGAGGAAAAGAAGGTATTTTTCTGGTAATAAAATCTCTTTTGTGGGAAGCTAATAACCAAGTTGCATGCAATTGATGCAATTCCTTTTCAGGATGCCACTTGTTCCATAGAAGGAGAAGAAGCGATGAACGAGCAAGAAGCACATGAATCTTTTGCCAACGACGCTACTAATCGATCTTCATTCTCATCTGTGGCGTTGGAATCCCAAAAGGTATCTGACAACTTTGAGCCAATCAACGTGGAGGGACAAAAAGAGACCGGGATATGGATCCATCACCCCGGCTCCGAAGTGTCACAGACTTGGCAGCCAAGAAAAGGAAAAAGTCGGAAAAAAGTCGAGTACACTCAGAGCAGCAAATCCTTGGGCGACTCATTCGAGAGCAGTATTTCATCCGGAGTACAGTGCAACGACAGCACTAGCACCGATGAAGCTGATGTCGACGGTAAAAGGCCAGGAAACAAAGTTCGCCGAGGTCTACGTAGGATCACAGCGGCATTACGTGGGACTCCAAAAGTGGAAAGTTATCATCTAGGCGGCAACAATCGTGAGGAAGTTGTTCAGTCTCCTTACGCCAACATTCGAGCAGCAAATCAGAAGGAAGGTGGGGTGAAGTTTGTTGTTGAGGATAGCCTCTCCGGACAGATACCTAATAAACAACCAAACTCGAGCCCCGACTCAACTTGTAGTCCGGGGAAGGGCGGTAAGAGGGAGAAGACGAAGTGCATTTTGAAACAGATGGAGAAGTCGGCTAGGAGCTTGAAGCATGTGCTATCCAGGAAAGCATCCAGAGTGTCTCGAGGAGATGGTGGACCGGAGTTAGGGGCTGAGCTAGCAATGGATGCTGAGTTGGACACTTCCGACGAAGATGAAGAGGATGAATCTCGACCTGCTGTTGCTCAGCCAGTTATTGTTGGCAATCCCATCACGTTTTGCTATGGGAGCAACGAAGATTCGGACAATGGGAAGGCGAAGGAGAAGAGTGGTGAAACTGGAGCGAGTGAGGATTTGGCGAAGAATGAAGAGCTAGGTGATCATGTGAATGGGAATGGTGAAGGCACAGAAAGGAAGGTGAATAGGGAAGTGGGTAGCTCGGAAGCAGACTACAAGGTACAAGAGGGGGAGACATTGAAGCCTGCTACTGATCAAGCGGGAGTTGAGAAGAACAACGTGGAGGAAGAGAAGGTCAGGCAAACATAGAATACTACATGTTAAAAAGGAAGAGAAGAGATTTTGGGTTTCAGTAGTGATGGTTGTATGAATGTATATATATGGAGATCAACGCTGTGGTTTGCGTGCAAATATGATGCAAATTCATCCTCGGGAAACATGTTTCGTTGTTTACCATGTTTTGGGATCGTATGGATTGGAGAGTCGAACAAAGGGCGAGGGCGCTTCTTTCTAGCGCACCGATAATTGTTGATTTTCGGCTTCTGCTTCCTTCTCTCCAGTGATTTCACGTACAATTCTATTAACTTCAGCCTGTAAATCACAATACTCCAAACAATATCTAATGTCGCCAAATTGACGAATAAGATATTTTTTAAGGAAATCGCAACTAATCAAATTAACTAGTCTTAATTCATTTTCTTTTATTGTGCATGGAAATTGACGAATAAGATTGTTGCAGGAAGTAACGATAAATCAAATTAAAATTCTTAAAATTCTCATTTTTTACGAACAACTACGTATTATGTGAATAGAACATCCATGATGATAAATCGAAATTAGCAAATATGAGATAGCAAGAAAAACATTTCGTGGCTTCTAAGTTCTAACCTACAAATAAAGAGAGATAAAAAATTTCCGACCCCACAGCAATATATTACGTAGTTGCCAAAACTTAACAAAAACCTAGAAGGACGCGGTCATATAAATATGCACGTACATACATCCCATCACTCGCTGCCGCCGCCGCTCTCTGTCTCTGTCTCTCTCATTCATTCTCCTGGTCGGGACAACAGCATGGCCTCCTCCGCCGCCGTCTCTTCCGAGAACAAGCAGCAGGCTCCACCTTCTCACGTTGAGGAGGAGGACGACGACGACACGTGGGTTTGGGTTGATGAGAAGGAGGCGGCGGCGGAGGACTATCTCCCTGCTGATCATAAATCCCCTAAGAATATTAATGACGACAATAAGAATTCAGTATCACAAAGCACCAATAGTAGTACTGTTTGCGGGTTGGTATCGCTGTCGGAGCTTTACCACGACGGCGGCGGTGGTTACGAGTCCGGGACGGAGGAGGAGAGGGCGGAGTTCATGGAGGATCTCAAGTCCTTTCACAGAGGCACCAACATTTTCCCATTGCTTGATACCTCCCGCCCTGCTGCTGACCAACACCTCAATCTCCTCAAGTAATTATTATCAATTAATTAATGTATAATTATTCACTAATTCATCACCAATGCCCTTTCTAACAACTTAAACATTGTTGAAATAATTTGATAGGTTGTGGAGGGCTGTGACCAGACTTGGAGGCTATCAACAGGTTCATTTTAATTTCTCGCGCCAATATATTTACGATTTTAATTGGTTTGTGCAATTGGTAATTAATAATAATAATTCTGGCTTTGTGGTTAAGTGGTAGACTAATTTTGGTTTGGTTTGTTCTTGTTGGGTCTGAAATGTGCATGGTGCAGGTGACATCAAGCCAGATGTGGCGCCAGGTTGGTCAGTCACTCCGACTCCCTAGGTAAGATTCGATTGCAATGCATGGTTAGGGAATTAGGGTTTTGGAAAATTGTGGGTTTGGGAAACTAGGGCTCTGGAAATTTGTGGGTTTTGGGAAATTAAGGTTTTAGATTGTAGGAGGAAACCGTAAAAATAACTATGGCTTGCCTTGGAAAACATTTCACCACTTAATTAATTCTAGCATGGACGCATTTTTCTACACATTTTTCTTGTTTTATTTATGTAAAATTGGGTTATTCGAATCTTTCAAATGGTAAACAATTTTTGATAAATTTAAATAATTTACTACGAATCTTGCAAAACAACCAACGTATTTATAACGTATTCGTGCGACTTCATATGCAAAATTAATCAAACTACATAGCTACCATATATACATACCATCTAATAAACTGAACGTAATTTCTTCCACATAGAGCCCGAGACATACTCACATAGCCGTGCTTTAAATGTTTTGGCAATTGTCTTATGGCTAGTAAAAACTGTGCATACGCTAAGATTTGTCATATACATGGCTGATAGTTGGTCTTTGTTTATTTGGGCAAATCCACAAGTTCGTTCATACAGTTTAGCTGAGTGGACTAGGTAGGAGATTTTGTCAGGCCCTAGATTTAAGGTCTAGCGATTACTGTTCATGTTTCCAAAGAGAGCTCTTCATTCTCTCTAAGGACTAAGATGTTAATATGTGATATGCACTTCCCGTGAAACCCTTATGTATATATGCTTAATTTGTCTACTGCGTTACAGGGCTGTCTCGTGGTCGACATTACGAAGCTTGTATGAGAAGGTCCAAAATACCTACCTACCTATCTTTCAGATTAATTATTGAACTCGCATGCAGTAGCCGTACAATGATCTGAAACCGCATATCGATCCATTCCTGAATATATATTAATTGTTGCATGTCATCTATCTATCTATCTATCTATCTATCTGCAGGCACTACTTGGGTATGAGAAGCATAAACTGCCCAATACTAGTGCTGATCAGCTGCTTCTCCCTAATGCTCCATTGCCTGCTCCTGAAAACCAGGTCAGATAATTAATCAGTAGCGTACATGGAATTAGATACAGTACTGTTGCTTTAATTTAATCTCTTAGTGCATCATCGTCATATCATGCATTAATTAAAGTCTATATAAAATACTTGCATCATTTCATGATAATGCAGCATACTGATGATCGAATGGGTTGGCAATCCGACAGCTTCATGGATTGACGATCATGCGTGGAACTAACCAACCAACCTAGCTGAATGGATGAATGAATGTGTGTACTGCATGCATGCATGTTGTTTGTGTCGTTCATTTTATCTGTGGGGAAACGGTGTCGAGAATCGGCTACCTCACTCTTAATTAATTTCCTGCCTGCGCATTATCAGAGTTGGCCTGGTGTGGTAGAGGAACAGGCAGTTCAAAAGCGCGTCCCTTTTGCTGCCTAGCTAAGGTCCAGTTCCTCGTGGTTTACAGAAATCAACAACTGATGAGGATTTTTTTGTTGTTGTTGTTGTTGTTGTTAGTATCCCAGTGGTGCTTCCTTGCTTGATCGGGATTAATTAATTAATTAATTAATTAAGGAACTTGATTTTGCTTTTGTTGTTGTTGTAAACCGTCAGATGGACTAATCGATTTCCCTTGGTTTGTATGGAATATGGATGGGCAAAGCAGCATGTTTCGTTGGATTGAGAAACCAGAGATTCATGTTTTTTTTAGAGTTTTTTTTTTTTTTTTTGAGAGCGAGATTCATGTTTTTAAGGGTTAGTTTAGTAGCCATTGTGCTTAGGTTTTCGCTATAATTAAGAAAGAAAGGTTGCATTCATGGCACATTCTTAAGTTTGAGGGTGTACACTAATACCCAAATTTATATTCGTAGATAGCAATCCCAATCTTCATCTTCAAACCAATAAGAAAACATAAAAATTGACGATACACTTACATGTTAATCATTTGATAAATCTATATAATAATAATCATCATTAAGTTACAGATTTATGAATAAAAATGTACAAATCAATTTAATGTCCTGATTATATCATGATGTTGAACTAATGTCAGCGATCAAAATATTCAATTTGATGTTTAGAATAAAGTAATTGTAGTCTATGATTCATAAAAAATATAAAAAATAGTCTATGGCGTGTAGGATACACCTAAAATCATGGTTGTACTATAAACACACCCTAAACTATAATAGAAGACATTGCTTCAAGTTGAGCAAGACAAAAGGTTAAGTGCCGTTCAAACTTCCTTCATTTTCACTTAGTGTGAGCTATTCTAATATTCCCTGCTAAAAATCTGTCTGTTTCTCTCTATTTACTCCAATAACGTGAATGGAAGGAATTCAGTGAAATACCCTTCTCTTCATCACTAAATCAACTATAGCTGCACAGAAAACCGAAATATATAGAAAGCCAAGCAGATTGATTTATTTGAGTGTTAGATTCAATTATGGGATCCTTTCCTTCCTTGAGCTGCTTTCTCATCTCTGCTTCTTCTTGCCCGCAAGAATGGGTTGGATTTGGAGATGTCGATTGAAGGCTTCGTTGAAAAGGAACCGGGTCTGGAAAGCAGAGATGATTGGAAGCCATGCTAGAACTGCAATGGGAGTCAGCAGAATCACACCCATCCCATAATCATATGCCTTCGCCAGTACTTGTGTGAATTCCCATATCACTGTTTCCTCTATCATGGGCCTCACTGCTTGTGCTATCTGGAAGCACCAACCACACACAGCAAACAACATCAAATGGTTGACCGCTCAGAGTTGAGAGTAAAAAAAACCCAGATCAGTGAGGAGGGGAAACGATGTTCATTTGAGCTGTAATAAACTTTAGGGTGACTGTCAAATTGGTGACCAGAGTATATGGCTTTTGACAAATTTGTAACTGAAGTTGGAAATAGATATCGAAATAACTAAAATAGAAGTCACTCCATAGGTCAGTTCACAATCAAAAGAACCCTTACCAGTAACAGGCCCCATCCGGTTGGGATGAAAGCTAGACAGCAGATGATCAAATCTTTCAACGACAGGTGACACAGTATTGAGAGAGTTATTATGCTGGCCACAATAGCAATGAAGAGGAACGCCTTGAACAAACGGAATCCCAAGTGGTATGTAGCACTCAACTTTCGCCTCCCCAAGTCCACACCCTGCCAATATTTCCCCAGAAAACACACATCAGAAATATAGAAAACATACTTTAGCCTCTGCGAGTTTACATGTATAAAACTGGTCCGAAATGAGCACAATATGCCAACGAAAGAAAGAAACTTTCTTACCTTGACCAATATAAACATAACGCCAATCACTACCCATGAAAGCACATAAACCAGAACATTTCTGCTATTTTGAGAGATGTCAAGGTGATAAACCAGACCATACTGGTACATGAAGAACCTAATCGATAGCAGTATCTCAACAAGCCTCGCCCCTACCCCAGCTTGACGCAGGTGGGCTTGTTCGTCGTTCCACCATGACTGCCAACTCTTGTCCTGTTGAATTCCAATACCACCTTGTTGCCTGATCCATTTGTTCCAGTCTTTCCAGTCATCCACTATCTTCTCCCAAGTGAACCCTGATGGGTTGAACAGAAACGGCGCGAACAACCAAGTGATCGACATAAACCAAACTGAGTAAGTGATCAAGACGTATGCCATTGTACTCTGGTACGACCTCCTGAACAGATCATAGACGACTAGCAGAAGGACGAGCTCGAAACCTTTCACAAAGTGGCTTCTTGAATATAACCTGAAGTTCATAGTTAGTATAACACAATACCGAGAAGTCACGACATTTTATGCGAAGAGATATCATAATTCATCTTAAGCTAATAGCATGACTAAAAGTTCAGGCATCAGGCATAAGATATATTAGAACCTGAATAAAATACAGGTATTCTACGCATTCTAACTGACTATAACCTGAAGTTCTCGGTGAAACTGGCATGGAAAATAACCACTTTACGCCCTGTTGGTCTGTACTTGGCACCTCCATAGAGAATTGTTCGTCCATAGTAGTGGATTTTGGTGCCCATAGAGAAAGTGAAGAAGACAGCAGCCAGCTGCAGTTGCATGAGTACGAAGTCTTTTAGTGCCGTGAGGAATCCTTTCTCAAGACCAATCTCCATTACCATTGGTAAGCCAGTTAGGAGTCCGAGCTGGATGAAGGATTGGGAGGCCAGAGCTGTCTCCAACGACTGGATGTCGTGCATTCGGGCCTCAAACAAAAGGGCCTTCTGCAGACCACTGAGAACAAGGTATAGCTGTCCGTAGAGGAATACATATACACCAATCACTGAAATCTGCAGAGTTTTTGCATAGGAATGCACAGTTAGCCACTGTATAACAAGGCCTGAACAGATAGCATGCCTAGGGATCACATGAAGTCAATTCTGTTAAATTCAACAGATATGACACTAAATTCATCAAAACACCATTCAAGAGAAGAGATATGGAAAATGTGTTACCAAGCTACTGAAGTAAAATCCAATGGTGGTGAAGTAACAAGATAGCATTCGGAAGAAATCAAATCCTTGAGCAAGCCGGTAAATGTCACGGCTTAGAGTTTGTTCACTGTTTCCATTTGCTACTTTGGCCTCGAATTTCGAAATCTGATTCAGGCCCACATCTCGACCTTTTCCAACTTGAAGGTACTCATGATAAGTGATGCATCCCCGTCGTAAGGTAGAATTAAATCCTGCATTCAATTGGGTATAGTTAGCTGGAGAAAGGCAAAAGAAGAGAAGAAGAAACTCTGATCAAAATAATGCAGTGAAATTTGAACAGAGTTACCAGCAAATACATCCTCGCTTAGGTTTATTGTTTTTGATGCTTTACTAATGCCACCTCTAGTGATGTGAAATACCCGGTCAAACACATCAGGGTGCCCATAATGAAATCTCACCCTGTATATAGCGGAAACCAAAACAAAAGAAAATCATTGAAACAAATAGAAGCAACGAAGATGTAAGAGCAAGGAAAAAGCGGCTGAAGTGATGCACATTGAATTGTCTGAAATAGGAAGAATCTGATAAATAATGGTTCAAAGATGAGAGAGAAAATACCCTAAGGAATAGCCACACAATCAACATTATGATGAATACTATGATGGAGGAAGGCAACATATTACAGTAATATCTAGGATCGGTCTAACAGAAAGAATACATCAGTTACCTGAGAGGATTGCTGAGAAGCCTTTGCCCAATGGTAACGAAGCTCGTCTCTTGATAGGACATGAACCATGCCAGAGAAGACACACTGTGAACAAAATAAGAATAAAGCCTTTCACCCAGTAACCTCAGCAAACATACAAAAAAGGCTAGTAGACAAGTAAGAGTTCATGTACCAACTCTTCCAACCACTCTACAAAGGAACCATAGAGAAGAGAGGAAGGAAAAGGATAAAGAGAAAAGAACACGGGAACACAGATGAATGATTCATCATCCATTTATCCAAGAGATAAGAAAATGGTTTGCATAGTAAGAGTTCAAAAATCCATGATCCTAGGTGGAACCATAAGAAAACCAGTTTTTAGCTAGCTAGTAGACAAGGTCGCTTCAGAAGGAGTGCCTGGTTTGCTTTCTATTGATGTTACTAGCTTCAAGTATTCCTTTGAATTTGGCAACAACTAACATTGACATAACTTGTATAGCCATACACAAGAATAAACTAACAGCATCTGATAAGAAGGTATAACCTTCCAGTGAATATATTTTCCCTTAGACCAAGTATTGAGGGAGCTCTTCGGCCTTGCCGCTTAAGAAATTCTTGCAAAAGATTTCTCATCTTATAAGCTTCTTCAAAATAATTATCCTGCAAAACACCACCAACTTTAGGATAAAATGCTTGGATTATGCTAACCATATAGTCATTGAGGCAGAAGAACATACTTGGTTCATATCAATGGTTTGAAGAGCTTCACCACGAGTAAATATTATGGCATGATTCTGATTTTCAGGTTTGCCTTCTCCGATATTGGGTTGACCAGGTAGCTTTATGCGATAAATTTCCTACATTGTAAGCCATAAGATGACAAAGTGTGTGTAACAGTGGTTCCATGCAGAAGAGGCTTCCAAATAGTAGATTAACAATTGACAAACCAGAAATCCTGAGCTTAAAAAAATAGGCTTCAATATTGAAATCTTAAGGAAATAAGTCGCATTTGTACAATCCATGGACAATAGCACAACTTTTGAGGAACTCAGTACCTGATCCAATCCATTGACACCTTTAATCAATAACGAAGAATAAACCTTATCGCCATTCAGAACTTCCTTCTCCTCGACATAAGCAACACGAAGAGATGGATACCTTCAACCAGAAGTAGTTTGGGTGTACTCAGAGATTGAACGATTTCACTACCATCCACTGTTTTCTCCTTTTAGAAAACGAAGATTACCTGGTCATCAAGTCAAGTACATCCATTGCACGGGGATCTCCAGCAGCCTTCAGCAAACCGAACTTTTGAAATGAAAGAACGTAAGAGAACTTCATGTCTGCCAGCGCATCTAATTGTGCAGACAATGTGCGATTGTTTCTTTCAGCGGCATCATAACCTTCAAGTATATCTAGAACAACCCCATAGGTCAACGGAGAGGACAAATTAGGGGAAAATGAAGCATAACTGCTTTAGCAAAATTACAACTAACAATGAGAGGAAGAAAAAGAAGACAGCATGGGCTCTGACAAACCTTCATCTTCAGCCATTTCAAGAAATGCTTGAACTCTTAATGCTTCTCTGTAGTACATCATGCCTCTAACTAGCACGGCCAAAGAAGAATAGATTGGAGGCCATCCAGGATTTTCATTTTATTTGATATAATGAATGCAATAAGATGGATCAGAACATCACAAGTAACTTCCCAGTTCACCTGTTCTGCTTAATGTTTGGCCCTGGAAAGAGGCCCAATATCTGAGGTCATTGTTGTTTTCCTCTTTTAAAGCATCTGAATTTTCCCATCCCATGCGCTCCAGAAAGTTCTCCCATACATCTAACAGGAAAAATCAGGTGAACGAATTGTAACTGAATATATATAATTGTTCAACAGTAATGAAGTTCATTTACCTGGATAAATTTTCTGCATATAGAATAAGATAGAAACCTCCTCTTTTTTACTTGAAAGAAGATCTTTCCTCGAATAAGTGACATCTTCCATGAAATGTGGTGTCAAAACACTGCAGCATATGATAAGAGGCCTCTAAGCTCAATGCAGACAATAGCAGTAGTATCTTCTCAACCAAGGAAAAGAAAGGCAGCAGTATCATAAACATAGTTAAAAAAATTCTGCACAATGCTACTGAATTGCAGTAATAGCATCGTGCTAACGAGAAGTGCATGTAAAAAAAAAAAAAAAAAAAAAAGGAGCACGAAGATAGTATTAACCTGAAAGACAACATGTTTCGCACTTTAGGAGCGACTGGCATGTCGGTGAAAAGTGAAGTAGCAAAGAATGATATTCGTCTTTTAGCCTCTAAGTTTGCAGGTATATCCAACGCCTTATCTTTGACAGTAAGGAGTAGAAGAAAACGCTTGATCTGATATCCACACATATGAGTCAGTTTCATGACCGACATGGTAAATATTTACAAAATTACTCAAGATACACTCCATTCCAAAAAAAGTTCAGAAATTATTAGTAGCAGAACATGCGGATTATAACTGTTTCCATCTATCTAGCTCTAACTACATTTATTCGTTACATTAAGTCCAAATACAAAAATGAGTTACTACAGAATGAACATGTTATCAAAGACCAGATATCTGCTCTTCCACAAGATTATCAGCACTCGGAAGCAAAGATATCCTGCTACTTTTATGAAACTGCAGAAAATCAAGATTGTAGAGTACTATGGAATACATTCATCAGAGTTTCCTCAGAGGAGATAATGCTACTTAAGACAATGAGAAAGAGTACAAATATGGTACATATAGAAAAGTAAAGTTGAGAACAAAGGAGAAGTAAATTGGATTCTATGGGTTCACCTGTTCCTTGAGAGGTCCACTGTCTGGAAATGGGAAATGGATAGCATCCTGGCCAGCAGCTGAATCAAATAACTGTGGTTCGATAGTTATAGAAAAATATGCAGAGTTCTCTTCCAGCTGGGACGGAGAGCTGAGTGTATCCATTACTCTATGCAGAATCAATCAACAATGAAAATAAGTAAGCGTCTCTAACGTAACTCCAGAAAATACAACTATGGAAACAGAGCTGCGAAATCCAAACCTTGAACTACTCGTCATCATATCATTTGTCACAAGTTCAAACAAATCTTGAAGAACTTTCACCACATCTCCTTGATTATTACCATCTCCTTCAACCTTTGTGAAATCCAAAAAAATGGGTCATGTTTATATAATTGATGAAACTTTAGCAAAGAAAATTTACAACATCTGCAATGCTACAGTTACCAAGAACTCGAGTAAGTCAACACATTTGGCTTTTAGAGCTGAAAGCTCGCTCATCTTGAAGTCCTCAAGAAGACTAGACCGAGCAATGCTATCTTCAACTTCCTTCAATATGCACGACACCACCCTAAATGCAAACCATTGGACCATGCTAGATTGAGAAGACGGCATCACATCTAAACACTGTGTGCAGATGATGCTTCACTAAATAAATATAATAAATGAACTACAACATTTTAATACCCAACAAAAAGAGCTACATATTCTCTACTGTACCTTTTCTCCAGATCACCCACAATAAGAATTTCAAGGACATACTTGAGTGACTCATAACATTCTTTCACGGCACAGTGCATGTACTTGTCTTTCTTAATCTTTCTGAAAAGACTCTCATCCTTCCCCACAAACTCCTGCGCAATGCTCAAGGCTGTGGAGAGCTGGTAATGGAAAAACAAGTTGTTTATAGACGTGTAATTGTAAAGAAAAACGGAGCAACTATGATCTCTTGGTTCAAAGATCATACCTTATTTGATAGAAGGAAAATCGGCCAACGAATCATGCCAGACAATAACTCCGATGACATAGGTATTGACATCAGATCCAGCTCCCTGTCAAGGATTAACACTTGGATACAGAATGCTCCGCAGAGTAAACAATGACATATATTGACCAAGGAAAACAAACCTGTTGCTTATCAAGTCCTCCTGCCGAAAGTTGTTGACAATTTGGTTCCATACAAGAGCAAATTTGGCCACTCCATTTGTTCCACTTTCGAATCCCTGAAAATGGTTCTTAGTGTACTCGAAATAGGAGAACCAAAAGTGTTGAACTAAGAATGACACTGCAGATATAACAAAAGCAAAATCCATACATTGTGAGACCTCTTGTTAAAGAAGCCCGTCTTTTTATCACTTTTCGCGGAAGGTGGGACAAGAGACACATAGAATGCATAAGGTAAGGTGTGAAATCTGCTTCTCAGCATACCCAATGTTCGAATCTACAAGATCAATAGAAGAGTAAGACAACCAAAGATGATAGAGCCACTTCCGAAAGTAATGCCTTACCTCACCAAGATGATGTAAAATTCCATAAACTCCACCAAAGATTGTGCAGAAGACAGAATACCAAATCTGTGTGTCCATGAAATACACCTGAACAGATCAAAATTGCATAAGCAAATAGTGGGCACTGATGGAAACTACAAACTTCTCTAAACAACTTTTGTTCTTATTTTCAAGAGAGAAAAGGAAGTGGGGTGGGGGTGGCGGGCGTCCTCACAACCAGAGTAGCAGCCCATATAGCAACAATTGCTCTAAACAACATTTGTTTTCATTTTCATGACAGAAAGGAAGTTGGGTGGGCGTAGTGGGAGATGCTCACAACTAGAATAGGAGCCCATATAGCAACAATTGCACCTGCATTGCTTTTCACTGCGAAACCAGAAAGACATTAGGAACATACATAAAGAATGGGTATACAAGCTGAATCTGGAATGAAATAGGGCTAACCTTTTGGAAATAGTTCATGCCAATCATATTTTTGCACACCAATTTTCAGGATTAGTCTTGTTGGTTGGATGAGAGGTTTGACCTGCATATTTATAGCCATGGAAAAGTAAATAGAAATGTTCTTTTACTTTCTTTCTTGAGGAACTATGCATCATGAAATACTTAAAAGTGGAATACAGTTGTAGAAAAATCAGTATATAGCACCAACTCAAGTTCAGACACTGAGTTTGTTATAATTCCTAGTCAGCTTGCGGATATCAAACATAGCCTCATGCATAACACAATACTGATGATATACATGGCATCTGGTGGCAGGGACAATACGAGAATGAAAAAGGAAAATCACAATATTACTCACCTCAAAACTGTAGCTGAATATAAATTTGGTGAGTAGCACCAGAAACCAAAACAATGTATACCTACACAAACAAAAAATTACATTGGCCAAAGAAACAAAACCTGGAATGGTAAAAATTCAAATGCAAGGTAGAACAGGAAAGGTAATGTACTTGAAAACAGAAACCTGGGTTTCTTGCATTCCACGCCCAACGTATAATCTTGGCTACAACATAAACAGAGCAGACAGTTCATAAGCAACTTATCCATATAAGCTTGAAGTAATTGAATATAAACAAAGATTAAAAGGCAATAGATTAATCATATTCAGCCCATCCAAAAGAATCGTGAGATTACAGTTTGAAGCTGCTTCTATGCTCAACCTTACCTGTGTCCACCACGAGAAAGTTCTGAATACTTGAAAATTCGACATCTCAATGAACTTTCGAACAGCAGGAACGAAAAATAAGATCATCTCAACTGCGTTAGTTGTCAGGTAGATTGCAACTGCGACCATGTAGGGAGATATACAGAACTGTCCAGACCATCTTCCATATTGCTTGGAATAACATTTATACTCGCTTCTTGATTTAGCATAAACTACTGGAAGAACTATGGTCCATATGACAGCGAAAGCCAGCTTCAATGCCTGTTTCCTTTTCTCCAAGACATCCATCATGTGTCTAGCTTTCCATGTAAAAGCAATCTCGAGAATCGCTGCAAGAAAAGCAACCCCTTTACATGGAATATGAAAAACAATGTTTGACTTGTGTACAAAAATACAGATGTAACAGCCATATAGTTCTAGAAAGTGATTGCCATTGCTCCAACAACTCTTAAGGCATGCCTAGCTTAAGCTCTTCAATGCTGCCCACTTGAGCACCGCATAGCTCGTGTTACTCAAGATGTACTAAGTTCTTAGCCAGTGGTGGACCAAGGAAATATACTTAAGGGGTGTCCTTGTCCTTTATAAAATATTAGAAGTCGAAGTTATATAAGTAAAAATATAACGCAAATAAAAAAAAACTGATAGTAGAATATTGCACTTGTCAAAAAGAAAATATTCGACAGTCATTTCAAAAGTAATGCCCAACCTTGTATGAGTCTAAGAATTGCAGAAGTAATAAAGATGCTCAGGATGTCCTCAAATATTTCGGCATTAAGTATCTCCATTGGATTTTCCACATCATGGCAGGCCATTACTATCATTGCCTGACGCAAAACAACACTTTAATTAGCAAATAGGGTCACAAACGAAAAACTCATCGACAAGATCCATGACCACAAACCTGAAGTGATAGAATGAAAAAAGTCCACATCCGATCAAAGCTCCTAAAAATCTGCCAAAATGATCGCATTTCTACAAAATTTGTCTTGCCCAGCCATTTCGGTCCTTGTTCTTCTGAAGCGGCCTATCATAGAGAAAAGCTAGTAAGAGTTTTGACAAGCTGTGTGGCTAATGTTCCACCATGTCAATAATAAGAACGAACACGAGGGACAGGAAGTGGTTAATGTTCCACCATGTCAATAATAAGAAGCATGTGTAATGAAGGCTCAGCATACACTACGAAATAAAACATAAAAATCAATTTCCTGTGGTTTTAGAAATATGATACTGACAAGAAAACCATGGCTGCCCCATGGTTAAAAACACAAGACACTAAGTGAGAAATAGCAAAATGCTACAGTGCAATATGTAATATATATCAATTATAAATTTTGTTTATGAATGATAAGCTTCATAAGTCATGTTAGAACTGAATAAAACATTTGCGTCCACTACCAAAATGGAAAAGTTTACCTCTGATTCATTTTCTTGTTGTCCTCTCAATTCTTCACCCACCTCTGCCTCTCCTCTCTTCTTTTCTGCAGAACCCTTCACTTTGTCCTTTTTCACAGTAGTCTCACAAAAGAAGTCATGCTTCGTGCGCATAGGCCAACCTATTTGAAAACATTCAGGAGACCTGGAAAAGAAATACTAGCAACATTCAGGATTTTAACTAGCCCAACTCATTTTTGCTTTTCTTCTATATGAATATTTTGCGAGCTAATTTGACGGAATGAAACTTCAAACCTTACCAGAAGTACTCATTCAAATCATCATAGTTTCTCCAGGTGGAATGATCAGCAGTAACTCTCCCTTTCTCAGCTTCCTTCAGTTTAGAACGAGAGTAATTAATGAATAGGAATTCTTGTATACTACACCATGAAACAGTCTATAAATACCTTAGCTATGACCGTGTATATGGGGGTAACAACTTTGTTAAGAAATGCTTCAGAGTCTCCTCCATATGCTGGTCGGATCTTCTCCCCAGTTTCCAAGCTAACAGCATTGCCCAATATATCATGCAATTCATTTGCCATCTACAATTATAGAATGAAATAAGCAGATTCTTCATCATGAACAAGATTATGCCAACTTGGAATGCAAGAACTGTGACAGACTAGCTGGAAGAAGGGTCGTTATCAACTCAACAAGAAGAAGGTATTAGATGATCCCTACTGGGTTTTTAACCAAACATTTCTGAAATTCGTAAGCGTTCCAGACATGCAATGTAGCTTTCCGCTTTAAAAATCAATAGAATGACTCGAAATAAATGTTAAATGAATTTGATATCTGGTTTAATATTAGCTAGTTTTCTACCATTTCTAATATATATAACTCAATTATAGTAGCATGTATGATATATATGTTTCATTTTATAATTATTATAGATGATACATAACACATGTTGTTTGGATACTTGTTAGGAAGATAGAATTTTTTTAATAGATAGTATACATCGTTTATTAGCTTACTGAATTTGGAAACACAAAATGCATCTTCAGAATCAAAACAAGACAATACAATACAAGACAAGACTGATCGGCAAAATATAGTGGCTTAAAGAGATGCAGATCCTCTTAGAGTTAATTAATAGAGAGCAATTGATAAAGAGTTGTTTTAAGCTTACATGATGAAAAATGTAGCACAGGCACTCTGGCATTAACCGCAAGTTGGCAGCCTCCCCCCATATAAGAAGGTAAAGTCCTATGTACAATATTTTATATTGTTGAGCTTCTTGTTTCACGTAAGGCAATCTGCAGAAACATATATGCTTGCATCAAATATGTGATGTAGATTGCATAATCGCAGCATAACCTAGACAAACTCATATGAGAAGGTGCAAACAAATATCAAACAAAAGTCTCCTACACCAAAAGGAAAAGAATGCCCACTAACAAAAAGAACTGCTACGTAAAGCAATCACAGTTCTTACCGTATATTGTTTTTTCTCCCTAGAAATTTGCACCAATTAGCATAATTTTTAAAGAACCTCTTCATCAGCTCATCAACTGCCCCATCTACCAACTGACATAGTGAGATGACCAATGTTAGACTTGGGTATATCAAAAGAACTGTTCAAAAGTCAAAATATATCTTTATGATACCTTGGAGTTCGCTGCCTGTTTATAACATTGCCTAATGTGGGTGTTAGCAAGGAGTAGAGTGAAATGCTCTCTCTGGTTGGCTACGTTTCCTTCCTATGTGAAGATTCACAGAATAAGCGTCAATTCTTTTTATTTCATGGACCAAGAGGCATGACACGGAAGAAAAAGAAAGAGGAGAAGAAAGTATATCTATAGTTTTTTTTTTTTTTAGATAAGTATCTCCATAGTTACAACTACATCCCAGGTACAAAATATTACTCTAGCCCATAACATAATGTGATCATCTAAATACCTGAAACCCAAAGCAACACTGAAGGAATTCAAACAAATCAAAGAAAGGCCTCCGTTTATGAAAATCTTCTGGAGGAGGTAAGCCGCGAGTGAAGCGGATGGCAACAACAGCAGCTTTTATCTGCATCATTTGCAAGGCCATCATGTTGTTGGCAAATATGATTATCTGCATGAGAGTATGTTGCTACCCTACAAATCAGCAAAGAAGTTACAGGGCAGCAGCATGCTCTCATCCAGAACAGAGAAACTAAAATGGAAGGAAGAAATGAGAAAATCCAAGGACGTAGTTTTGGAAACTTAAGATGGTCAATTATCTTGTGTTGTCTAGCAAGAAAATTATACGAATTAAGGCTAAACAATACAATTACTCTGATTATTCATATGCCATCAGACCTCAGGGAGTTGCATAATTGCTTGCTGAATACCTCCTTGATCCAGAGGAAGAATGTTATATGGTACATAGAACCCGGATTTTGAACTAATGCCGTCCCTTTCAGCAAGGGCCTATTAATCAAGAACAAACAAGTGATTAGAGGAAAGCAACAATCTCCCACGAAACAGCAATATCTATACATTATCTTCCCAGGGGAAGAAGTTTAAGCTACAAGTTAATAAAAGACAACAAAAGGCAGACCTGAGTTCCAGCCGCATTTGTTACTGTCTTCAATACTTCAAACAACACAGAAGCGATCCTACTTGCATTTATCAGCTTCTCTCTGTGTCTACATCAGACCAAAAAATTTAAAAGCCAAGTGAGACCTCCAAAATGTGAGTCTCCAACACAACTAGCAGGACAATAGAAGTAGCAAACTGCTGCAACATGAAGCTCTTACCTATCATCTAAATCAAACCCAGCACCAGTTTTAAGGATGTAATCCTTGTACGCATGGTAAACGCGTCTGAGCTCTCGAATATCACTCTTCTCCTTCCGTCTCCTTAAGGTAGGTTCTTCATCCTACAGAAGAGGCACAACTTCTTGAGCAGCTACAAATAATGATTCCAGTTCTCTATTCCAACCTCCTTGACTTGGAGAAGTTGATGAATTCATGCTTACTAACTGCTATTCCTTACTTGTTCGAGGCGCTGTAGAAGAGAAGTCTTGAATTGCCGAACACCCCTACCAGTCGAATTGTGGTCCATGTTATGTGCAATTTCGAAAGCATGGAAGCGGCCTGCTCCCAGAAAGCTCGTCATAATTCGAAATTAAGCAGCTATCTTGAGTCTTAACAGCATGGTTTCATGATAACAGGTTAATCATAAAAGTGGCTGATAAGAGAGAGTATTAAGTGGAACAGAATAGATCCTCCACTATGTTACCGTTTGAGTGGTTCCTTGATTGTAGCACCCTCTACGTAGGATTTGCATTTTCTGTTGCCCATCCTCCATTTTTCCACGGCCCATCGCCTTCTCCTCCTGTCTCTTCTTCTGTCCAGCCCGCTACCCTCGCCCAGCCCACCAAGACCCCCCCATCCCCCTCCCAGCCCGCAGACCTTCCTTCCTTCCCTCAGCCAATTCAGCCCGCTGAGCCCACTGAGCCCACGTCAGTCCCCTCCCCTGAGCCCACAACACAACCCCCAACCCAGCCCAATCAGCCCACCTCACCTGCTCCTTTACCTCAGCCCACTGTACCAACAGCCTCTTCTCGGCCTCTTCTCCAATACCGCCGCCGACCACCTCCTGCTCCTTCCTCTCCACCGCCCCTCCTTCAGTATCACCGTCGCAATCACCCTTCCCGTCTTCCTGTCTCCTCCCCTGCCCCTTCTCTCCCCTCCACCTCCGTTTCCCCTTCCCATTCCAAACCAATTTCCCCAATCCCTCTCTCGTCCAGACCTCCATTCAACACTTCTCCCCGCATCATCCCTGTTCCTGCCCAGCCCTCTCCTCCCCGACGAATGACCACTCGGACACAAACGGGTAAATTAAAACCTCGTCAGTTCCTGGCCGCCGCTCCTACTGGCGTACCCACCACCGCTGCGCAGGCTCTTAAGTCTCCCCTTTGGCGTGCCGCGATGAACACGGAGTTTGATGCTCTCATTCGCAATCATACATGGGATTTGGTTCCCCCTCCACCAGATTGCAATATACTGACCAATCGTTGGGTTTTTGCTGAGAAAACCAACCCTGATGGTTCCCTCGAGCGGCAGAAGGCACGGCTTGTGGCTCGTGGATTCCAACAGATTCCCGGTCAAGATTTCGGCCAAACATTCAGCCCCGTTTTGAAGCCGGCCACGCTTCGCCTCTTGCTCGGGATTGCGGTCTCCAACTCCTGGCCCCTTCACCAGATTGATATTTCAAATGCTTTCTTGAATGGAACTTTGCAGGAGGAGGTGTATATGCAGCAACCCGTTGGGTTCGTCGATCCCGACCGTCCTGATCATGTCTGCCGTCTGCGGAAATCTATCTACGGCTTGCGGCAGGCTCCGCGGGCATGGTTCACCTGCTTATCTCAGGCCATTCGTGAGTTTGGTTTTGTTGCTTCCAAGACTGATCCTTCACTGTTTATCTACCGCACTCCCACTACTGTTCTGTATATGCTTGTGTATGTGGATGACATAGTCATCACAGGCAATGATTCTGGACTTCTTCAGCAGCTCCTGCTTCATCTTCGGTCTAAATTTGCTCTCCGTGATCTTGGCCCGTTGTCATATTTTCTCGGCTTGGAGGTCCACTACACATCAGACGGTCTTATTCTCAGTCAGCGGAAGTACATTCTGGAACTGCTGGACAGGTCAGGGATGTCTCAGTCGAAGTCTATTACTACACCCTGCTCAGCTGACCAGCTGATCCAAAGTGCATCAGACGTCTCTCCTGCCTTCCATGATCCAAGTTTCTACCGGAGCATTGTGGGGGGCCTTCAGTACTTGAGTTTCACCCGCCCCGACATATCCTTTGCTGTCAATCATGTGTCCCAATTCCAGCAATGTCCGACCGATGCTCATTGGGCAGCCGTGAAGCGAATACTCCGTTATCTCCAGGGCACACTTACTCAGGGTCTTCTTTTCCAACGATCCTCCAAGCCACAGCTCCATGGTTATTCCGATGCTTCTTTCGCCTCCTGTCCCCGTGATCGTAAGTCGATTTCTGGTTATGCAGTCTACTATGGCCAGAATTTGGTTTCCTGGTCTACACGAAAGCAACAGGCTGTTGCTAGATCATCTACCGAGTGTGAATATCGAGCTCTGGCCACGGTAGCATCTGAGGTCATTTGGCTTCAAGCTCTTCTCACCGAGCTTGGACAGTCCACTAAAGCCCCTGTTCTTTGGTGTGACAACCTGGGAGCTACCTATCTAGCTCATAATCCCGTCTTTCATTCTCGCTCCAAGCATCTTGAAATCGAGTTTCACTTTGTCCGGGACAGAGTTAACAAACAGCAATTACATGTGCGTTATCTTCCAGCCACCGATCAGCTTGCTGACGTACTCACGAAGCCACTGTCTCGCATTCCTTTCCGGACTTTCTGCTCCAAGTTTCACCTCGTCGAGGTTCCACTTGCGGGGGCGTGATAAGAGAGAGTATTAAGTGGAACAGAATAGATCCTCCACTATGTTACCGTTTGAGTGGTTCCTTGATTGTAGCACCCTCTACGTAGGATTTGCATTTTCTGTTGCTGCTGTACTTGTATAAAAACCAATATTCAGTAATGTAAAACTCAGATTTCCAGAGACAATTTCAGTGGCTACTAAAGAAACATTCACAACCTACGTACCAAACGCAGCAATTAAAACTCTCTGAAGCATTTCGGCGAACACCTTATGATCAATATCGACATACTCAAGAGCACTTACAAAGATAAGCAATGCGAGGCTCCTCCGTCTCGATCAAGTTGGCAACACGAAGAAACCTCTGGATTTCCCTGGCCAGAGTGGGAGGCAACCTCTCACTGTCAAAAGGCTCTGGACCAGCACTCCCACTCCCACTAGTACTAGCTCCACCATGGTCAAACGTGAGGGACCTCGTAACACCACCATCCCCAGTCGCCGTTTCTCCGCCGTTCCTTTCTCTTCCTCCCCCGCCGCTGCTGCTGCTGGGATCAATAATTGGGTCTGCAACGACGATCTCCGACATGGCGGCAACGAAGTGAGGAAATGGGTTGGTGGAAGCAGAGTAGTGGAAGATGACGACCCGAGTGGTGGTGGTGGTAAAGACGTAGAAGAAGAAGAGGGATCCATGTGGGATTATGGGTGTATAAAAGAAAGTAATTACGAGAGCTTGGATGGGATCTTGCTGCTTGCTTTTGTTACTTAATGGCAAAGGAGGAAGGCAAAGCCAAAAGGAGCTGCTTTTAGGGTGGAGGGAGGACGAATTGGGCGATGTAATGGCGCTTTATTTCTTGCTTTAGCTTTTGGGTAGGACTGACAGAGACTGGAAATGGAGGGAGAGAGCTTTTCCCCAATTTCTTATTGCTTTGCTTTGCATGGCTATGGTGGTGATCTGTATCGCTACTGGTCCTCTCTTTTGGGTCGCAGTGTCAGTGTGCGCGGGTGGGGAAGAAAAAGGAAGGGGAAGGGGCCGGGAGGCGCTTTTCCAAAACTGTTGTGTGTGAGTGCTAACGAAGTCTTTCCCTTTTTGTTTATATATATTTTTGCTTTAGCTCTCTTTTTTTCCTATTGCTTGTGGGCTGTGTAGTCTCCTTTCCCTTTTATTAATCTCCTTTTTGAATATACGAAAATGTCGCGCCATATAACACGATTTAGCGGATTCAATGATGGAGTATAACAATTTTCATGAAGTCCATCCAAGTCCAAAACTGTTGTTAAGGGATTAACACGTATGTACTTTATGAAGGGACAAAATTTAATTGAGGTATGGTTTTGTTTATGTATAACTGATTTTGATTATTTTTAAAGTGAATCCTGAATGTTCATAGTTAAAGCAGTATTATATATGTTATGTATCTATCAACGAATTAAAGATATATATGAGACGAGGATTGCAAAACAAGCACAAAAAATACTTATGATAAATATCAAAGTAATATTTGACTCCAAATTGGAATCCAAGGCATTTGAATGTGCTCATCGTCACTATACCAGCAGGTGAACTCTTGAGAACAAGCAAATGACATTATAATACTAGTTTTTCCTTTGTATTTCCTTTTCTTGTTGTCGATTACGGTTTAATTTCCACATATTTTACAGGTTTACTGAAGAAAAAAAGAAGTAAAAGATTATTCTTGAATTTAAGCATCTGAACGTGTGGTGTGGAGCAATTGAAACAACTTTTTAAAAGCAGCATAGCTTGTTAATATGTGTAAACCATTTCATATATGTAGATCATATGTGTACCTTTTTCATACCTTTGAAGAATGATAATATGTTCTGAAAAAGGTTGACTTGCATGTCTGAAAAGGTTGACGAGCTTCATTTGGTGTAGACTTTACTTTGATATGGGCTTTACACAATTGGACTTATGAATGATGGATTTGTTTGAAAAAAATTAGCCAATCGGCAATCTAATTTAAGAATTTTATATATCAACTAAAGATTAAAGAAATACATGATTCCTACCCAAAAAAAAAAAAAAACATGAAAAATTCTTCTTTCGACGGCGGAAAATTAGATAGCAGCGAGCAGGCTGCAGCAAGAGAAGAGGAAAAGAGTTTTGGTTTCTATTGTTGGGCTAGGAAGACAACACGCCAGAGACCACGCTTGATTGTTGGGCTGCGGATGCTTGGGCCCAAGTAGAATGCTTAATTGCGGACTGCGGCAGGGTTCAGGAACAGAACGATTGCGGATGTCGAAAATTAGGAGGGTCTCTAGTAATTCTCGCCAATAATAAAGGTAGGAAGAATCTGGTGGACTCCGCCGGGGGGAAAAAAAGGTAGGAAGAATCTGGTGGACTCCGCGGGGAAAAAGTAGCTATCCAAATCCAACAGGAATCACATATACCCTCCCTGATCATGCATAATATATTAGGAGTTAGGAGACATGCCAGCTGCCACTCTGTATATTGATTGGTTTGGGATTTGGGAATTGGGACGGAAAGGCATACGTACTACTGTAGGATTAATAATATTCAATTATTTAACGTTTAGGAATATTAAATACATTGTTATATTAAATTAAATATACTTGGCAGGCCAGGCCGGAAGTCCCTCCTTCTCCTTGTGTTCATTTCATATGATCCATCCATTCTTCAATCAAGTGATCCTGCAAAACTAGCTAGAGAAATGGAATCAGAAGCTAGTCCAATAGTAATCGTGCTCCTTCCAGTTCTCGTCACGCTCTCCTTAATCCTCCTCGCATCCCAGATAATCCTGAGGACCAAGAAGGAGAAGAAGTTGGGTCTCCCTCCAGGCCCAAGGAAGCTGCCCATAATCGGGAATCTCCACCAGCTCGCCGCAGGCCGCTCCTCCTCCCTACCCCATCGGCGGCTACGAGACTTGGCCCGACAATACGGCCCAGACATGATGCACCTCCAGCTCGGGGAGACCTCGAACGTCGTCGTCTCGTCGCCGGAACTCGCCCGAGCGTTCCTGAAAACGCACGACCGCAACTTCTCCACCAGGCCCACGCTCCCATCCGCAGCCATCATTTTCTACAACGCCAGGGACATCGCGTTCGCGCCCTACGGGGAGTACTGGCGCCAGATGCGCAAGATCTGCTCGCTGGAGCTTCTGAGCGCCAAGCGCGTGAGCTCGCTGCGGCCCATCAGGGAAGAGGAGGTCGGCAAGCTCGTGATGGGATTGATGATGGGCTCTGACCCGCAGCGGCCCGGAGAAGGAGTGAACTTGGGCCGGTTGCTGGGCTCGCTCAGCTGTACCATCACGTCCAGGGCCACGTTCGGGAAGATCCAGGATTTGGAGGAGTCGTTTTTATCGGTCCAGCGTCGGATCATGAAGGCCCTCGGGGAGTTCGCCGTCGGGGACGTGTTCCCCTCCAGTTGGCTCCTCCGTACAATCACCGGAACCGAGCGACGGCTGAAGAAGCTTCACCGTGAAGCTGACGTCATCCTCCAAGGCATAATAGATGAGCGTGTATCCAGAGGAGCAAGATCAGGATCGGAAACGGCGCTACTGCTGGATGATCATGATGATGGTCGAGATCTGGTGGACGTGCTCTTGAGTTTCACTCATGGCGACCAGGTCGTCCTTGGTTTCCCTCTCACCCACGTCGAGATTAAAGCCGTCATCATGGTAAGTCTGTATACCAAAATCACCAAATTAACAATTATACTACGTACCTACTCATCATCAATGTATAAAATTAGACTTTAGTGCTCGTGTGTGTGCATGTATGCAGGATATATTTTTTGGTGCGATCGACACTTCAGCCGTTACCGTAGAATGGGCAATGTCCGAACTGATGAAGAATCCCGAAGAAATGGAAAAGGCACAAAAAGAAGTGAGGCGGGTGTTTGACGGAAAAGGAAAAGTTGTAGATGAAGCAAGTCTTGATGAACTACCCTATCTGAAATCGATTGTCAAGGAAACCTTCAGATTGCATCCACCTGCTCCTCTATTGGTTCCTAGAGAAAGTCGAGAGACAATTGTGATTAATGGATACCAAATACCGGCAGGAACTAAGGTGCTTATCAATGCATGGGCTATCGGTCGAGATCCCACGCACTGGCATGAACCGGATAAATTTATACCGGAAAGATTCCTCAACAATTCCATCAACTACGAGGGCGATAATTTCCAATTCATACCATTTGGAGCTGGAAGAAGAGTGTGCCCAGGTATAAAATCTGGAAGTGTTGTGGTTCATCTTACACTAGCAAATTTACTCTACTACTTTGATTGGATGCTACCAAACCAAATGAAATCTCAAGCTCTTGACATGTCTGAAGTCTTTGGAATCTCGATTCATAAAAAATATGATTTGCATCTCATTCCCATCCCTTACCAAGCACCCTAAATAAAAACCTTGTAATGTTGTTTCAGTATTATGTTTTACTTGTCTTTCATTTAAGAAATAATAATAAACAGTTAGTTAGTGGTACTTTTGACCATCGAATTATGGGGGGTTTTCCTATCATAAATAGCCATGAACCCTAAGTATTTTGGGAACTGAAGCAGACAGAAGAGAGACGACTTAATTAGAACTTGTTTTGCGGAATTTTCGCTTAATTAGCACAGTTTTTTTCGTTACTGCTACTGCACAAAGGTAATTAAAGAGCCTCTTCAGCACAAGCAAACAAAATACGTACCAAATTTAAATGGCCACTCACAACAAAACATGGTCATTTTCCATCAATGCATAACCCGAGAAAACTTAACTCACTAAATGGAAACGATGGGTCGAACTTATAAAAACGATGATAAAAATTATATAACATCTACTTCGAATCTTCTCCAAATAACTCGAGTTATTGTAATCAAGTGGTTCTTTAACATAGTATTAGAGTCGATGGTCATAAAAAAAATCGAATAAAAATATGTATTTCGAAATTTCTCCCAACAACTAAGATTATTGCAATAAAGTGGTTCTTGATTTGATATTAGAGTCCATGATGATCAAGAGAGAGCTTTGGTTTTGCAATAGTTTCCAAGAAATGAACTAGATATTGGAGGAGGGGTGATAGTCTCTGTGCCCCACTTTTCAATGTTTCTCAATATAGGAATGCATATAATGTGATTTCAGATCAGATCAATTATTCAGAGGAGGACCGTAGCCCCTTCTGGATTATGCATAGTTCTGCCACTAATTGCAAGTTGATTTAACCATAAAGTATAGTGAATTGTAAGACAATCAAATAAAATAAACCTTTTTAACAACTCGTGTTATATATTGACTACTCTTAAACAAAAACAGCATAACATGCACCCACTTCTAGAACATCTCAAACGAGCTAGCTAGTCTGAGGTAATGGATTCATAGAGCAGCTGCAGGAATCTTCATTAATATATGGAGCCAACTTTTGGGGCAAATAAAAATCGTTAGAGAGTGATTCGATCCAAATATCAATTCGGTCCAGTATGGACTAAGTCATTGCCCACCCCTAGGCGGGACAACAGAGTCCGTCGGATCCTTTTGGCTTCCGAGCTTGGACATGTTTAAAGCAGCCCACCAGAGACCTGAACCTGAAGGGGGGGAATATGAAGATTGGGCCAAATGCGTAACCGTGGGTAACTCTCCTTTCAGCCCACCAACTAGGGGTTAATGTTCTACAAAGTTAATAGGAAATGTGTGTCTTCACTCCTCAGTCCTCACTTTTTTTTATTTTTTTATTCCTCAGTTCTCACTAGAAATACGAAATTACCAAATCAAATGACATTTTGTGGGTGGATAAACTTTGAGCCTTGAGAGAGTAGTAATATGTGAATCGAGGTTTCACAAGTTTGTTCGTTACAAAGTGTAAGAATGTGATCATTGTGCTGATATTAGTAATCTAATTTTCTTGGGATCATAGTAATAATTATTTGATTCTAATTGTTGATTATAATGGTAATGATATCAAAAAATTTCTCGTAAATATAAATAACTCATCAAATCATATTTGTCTTATCATTCTCTCAATACTCATCAGTAATCAGTCATCTCCATCCATCAAGTGACTGTCATTGTATGGAATGACAGCATTAGCTCTTAAAGAGCATACTAATTAGGGATTTCCTACAGTAACTTTAAGTAAGGTAACTTGAATTTTTTTACCTGCTATAGCAGGTTTCACAGGTCGCATTATGTAAAATACAATAGGCATTACGTAATGGTTACGTAACATATGGTAAGCTTACGTAACAGTTGTAAAAGATCCATTACGGAAGCCTTACGTAATAGGATGCGTCTTTACGTAATGAGCATTAACCTCACATTACGTAAAATGCTAAGTCATTACGGAAGCCTTACGTAACGCTACTGATTTAACTGTTACGTAAGAAATAACTCTCGTTCCGTAACCTTTACGTAATGGAAGGTCTTTTTACGTAATAAGTATTAATCTCACGTTACGTAAAGTGCTAAGTCATTACGGAAAACTTACGTAACGCTTCCGATTTAACTGTTACGTAAGAAATAACTATCGTTCCGTAACTTTTACGTAATAAATGTGTATTTTACTTAACAGTTGAAAAATGTCATTACGGAAGCCTTACGTAATAGAAGGTCTCTTTACGTAATGAGTATTAATGTCGTGTTACGTAAAGAACTAAGTCATTACGGAAGGTTTACGTAATGCTTCCAATTTCACTGTTACGTAAGAAATAACTATCGTTTCGTAACCTTTACGTAATGGATTTGTATTTTACGTAACAGTTGTAAAAGGTCATTACGAAAGCGTTACGTAATGGAAGGTCCTTTTACATAATGAGTATTAATCTCATGTTACGTAAAGTGCTCAGTTATTACGGAAGCCTTACGTAATGCTTCTACCTCAATAAGAATTAAAAAAAAAGAATTAAATAAGGAAAAACATTTCAATGCAAAAAAGGAAAGAATAAAGTTGAGAAAGGTAAGTGGCGTTGGTGGTTACCGGCAACCCGCTGTTTTCATTAATTTTTTTTAAATTTTTAAATTTTTTATTTTTTTAATCAATGGTTTAAAATAAATTTGGTCGATTTTAACGGTTTAGATCTATACAAGTTACCTAACTTGAAATTATACCCAAGTTACCGTAGGAAGTCCCAATTACTTAAGTGTATGTTCATAAGTTGCATTACCAGTAAGAAAGCTTGATCGCAATCAATAGAATGTAAACATAAGTGCCGGAGAACAAAGAATCGAGATAATTAACTCGATTTCAATAATAAATAAATAAAAAAGCTTCATGATAACCTAATTCCATCAAGTTTGAAAATAATAAGATAAGTTTCTCCTTGAAAAGTAATCATATATATGTGATCACTTCCCGAGTGAACTCCCAGTGGCAGTAGTGAACCAATGAATCAAAACGTTGAACTTATTTTCATTTTAGAGTGGAAGTTGTTGAATCCAGGATTCGAACCGTGGCTCAAATGTATAAGTATTCCACTCACGATGATCAATCTCATATCCGAGGCCGAGGATTGAACCCGAACTGAAACCAATAAGATCATCATTCCAAGAAATTGAATTGGAGAAATCAGCTGGTGGGCAGAGTAATTGTGTTTCTTCTCCCCCGTAATTACCGCCCTGTTCCTGAGCAGTAGCGAAATCCATCGGCGACTGAACAGGAGCAGAATTAATCTCTGCTTCCAGAGATTGGATTAAACAGAGCAGCCTCTGGCTGTCGTAACCGTGGCAACGGTGATCATCAACTTGCGGCGGCTCTTCCAGCAAAGAAACCAGAAGCTCTCTGTAGTAAGCCTCCTCTGTTTCGTTGGTATGAACATGACCATTGCCTCCTTCCATTGATCTGATCTGGGACAATTCTTTACCCTTTCCCTCTTACTTTCTGAATGATTGTGAAATTGTTTCCCCAGTAGAAATGGATGAGTCTCCCAGATGGGAAGGCAGCTGGGTTTTATACAACTAGGCCACAACAAGAATGACACGCTAGCTATAATCAGCTGAGCTATCAATGGCACGTCGTGTTATTGCAACATAATCCATGGAGCTGGATATGCTGTTTCAGATGATTGTGATTTAAGGAGAAAGAGATTCGTAAATTAAGATGATTGTTTATTGTGGGAACTTGCCAAGCAAAAGCATTGTGCTGGTCGAGAATGGACAGCGACCGGCTGACGCGGCAGCTGCCGACCTGAACAAACGAAAACAGAGTGGCTATTATACTTAAACAAGTTACCCACGGGGCTTTCTTTGTCTTTGCTTCAAACAGACACCGGACTTTTTTGTTTGAAGATGCTGGTTTTACTTTTGATTATCTTGGTATGATCACTTGGTTAGGCTGAATTGATTGTCTATTATCAAGTTGGGTGCATGGATAATTTTGCGGTATCGAATCGATTAAATAATCTATAGGCGGTGTTCAATACAAAATTTGTGAAATAATCTATATTGACTAGGGAAATGTCATGCTTAATTACACCACAGTCCATGAAGCTTATTAGGAGCATATTCCTTCCAAATCTCTTATTGATCTCGTTTAAGCCCTTAAATGATTAAGGTAACCACTCTCCATCACTAAGTTACACCACAATTTAAGTATTAAGGATTTCCTTTGAGGCAAAGGTTTAGCTAATTATCTTGTTAAACAATATTTGGTTGGTTGCTATGGAAGGCACAGGCAGCAGCACATGCGATGTCGGATTGTGTGTATCAATCCATCAGCCAAAACAAGCACAAATACAGGTCATTAATTATCATGGATGGTGTCATTGCTATGTTATTAATCAAGCTCTAATTATTTGGAAAGGAAGCCCACCTGGAAGGAAGATAGTTGCTTCTGATCCGAAGGTCCCCCAAAAGATCTCTTCCCTCACGACTTCGACATGCACATGTGAGTTATCTGACAGGAAGGAGTTAGAACAAGCTGCAGACTACCCCGACTTTGTATTAACACTCACACGCAGGATTTTATGCACCAATTGATTAATGACGTAAATCACACACGATCTTGTGTGTGAAATCAACAACATTGTCCGCTGATTTGCGAGCTACTCTTCTTTTGCATTAGAGTTACGACGTACCAGTATGATCCAACAGGCGTGAATTATATTTAGAATGATCTAACTATCGTATATTGAGATTGTTGGATCTTACCATGTAAGGACTTCTAGTTGATATTCAGATTGTAATTTGATTCAATATCAACACCTTTTTATTCTCCATCTATAGTGCACAGAAGCCAGACATGCAGGGCATTGTTGAGCAATGTACTCTTAGTATTCAGATGACGAGTGAAAATTTTAGGAGATTGGTATGTGATGAAAGCACTGTAGCTAATGGCTTAAATATGCTTGGAACGTCTTACGAAATCAAACTCACAAGTCGTATATTTCACTAATTTGGTTAACAAGTCATACTCCTACTTCTCATCTATTTCAATACAGCTATATAGCTAGAACTTCTCTTTCGGATCATTCTGGATGAATTTTGCATCACAACAGCAAAACTTCTTCTGATATCATAACACAGTAGGTACTCTCCTTCCACCCGCCTTGCCCTAAAGAAGAGAATAAATTAAAGGGAGGCAATCAAAGATCTTTTTATCTTCCCCAATGCTGGATCTTGAAGGCATCCCAACACAGAGGAAACACATCAATGACACAAGCACATGGTTGCTCGATAAGAAGATCAGTTCGGGCACCAACCCATTATTAGTTGTAAACTACACTTTTAGGTTCCCTCGAGAAAATTTGGGTGTTACCAACTCGTTATTGTACCAATGATACATTCACATGGGCACCTCGTTCGTGCACCTAACTCATAAAACCAAGTTCTGATTCACTTGCTTCCCAATAATGATAAAGACTTACATTACAACATCGCATTTTCTAAGAGAGACCTCTTCTATATAAAGACCTGGTTCAATGACTTAAAGAGAACAATACAATCACAAATCATCCACCAAGCTAATACCAACCAACACTTCCCACCATTCCATCTCCGCTAGTCCCTGCCAAAATGGCATATCTTTCATCCGAAACCAGTCTCTCGGAGAACAACCATCATCATCAAGCCCTCCTCATGTCACTATTAGAAGAGTCGTTGCTACAAGTTGAAGAGTATAACGATGACGAAAGGTTGAGGAATGTAATCAAATCTCTTGAAGCAGAGATCGATGGTATTCCCGATATGATCAGGGAAGATCACAATTCAAGCGAAAGTGCCGACAACAACGATGATTGCTACTACAATCCCGACCTATCCCTTGATGATTATGAACTCGATTGGGTCGAAGATATGGAAGCACGTCCTTCGATCATGCCACATGATGGCGCCTACAATGATCACGATGTTTGGTCAAGGATGGAAGGCTCCCTGCAGAGTTATGAGGGGATGATGCTATTCGACGAGTTTGGAGGTCATGGTATCCAACACCTGGTACAAGAGGGTCATTGGTATGGAAGCTCCTTATGTCAGGAAACATTTTCTCAGTGAGACATCACCTATGTAAAGTTAACTAGATCATCATTTTCCCCATCATTTTACATGGGATTTTTCAATTTGACTATGGACTTCTGCTCTCTTATTGGAAGATGTGATAAGTGAATCCACAAAGTAAAAGACTGGCAAGTGGCAAGAAAGTATAGTTAATGTACTCTTTCTAATCAAACAGCAGAAGATTCCAGTAATTAGAAGCTAATTCTAGCCTATCAAAAGATTCGAAATCTTGATTTCATTCCAGCATGGTGCACATAGTCGCAATAGAAAAAGAGAAGCGGAAACCAAGCCTTGAGCACATAAAAAGAAGACACTTTCTGCTTGAAAATGCTGTCCAGAAACCAATTCACAAAGGAAAACCATGTTTACATTGAAAATCCGTACCGACAACATTGAAGGAATCAGACAGCAGAGAATTGCCTTAGTCATGTCTAGGCACATCCCGAGGCGCTCGGCACAACAAAGAATTTGCTGCACCATGAGAAACATCTCTGGGGTGTGCCACAACTATCATAAGTACCTGCGTTTCTCATCAGCTTCCAACTTGCAACATAAAAAAAGTAAATGAGTACACAAGAAGCTCAGATGAGTAACGTGAACATCAAATCCAACCAAACCAGTAAGCACCTACAGCAACATTGAAGCTGGGCAACTACGAGTTTAGCACAGGATCAATTACCTTTAATTTCTTCATTGCCCTTTGTATCCTAGCCATGACGCAATGGCCAATCATTTTGTGTTCTGTAGTCTCAAATACACAAAAGACCAGATTGGAAATCACAGGATGTCCAATAAATTTTACAAACTTTCGTTCCCCATTTCTACCAATGTCAACATACAACATAAGGCAGCGCCCACTTCCGACAAGCATGTGAGACTTGATTTCCGGCGACATATATTAGTCATTAGAGAATGGGAGGGGATTCAGGTCAAATCAATCAAACAAATAAAACGCGAGATCCAAGAGTAAATTTTCAGAAAAATGAAAATTTGCTCTTTTGTTTTTTCTTCTTTGGTTGCTCACTAGATGCTACTGCTATATAATCCTCCGGATTGACATTCTCGTCCCTTTTCTTCTTCACAAAATCTTTTGCCTTTTGCTGCAAAATTTGAAATAGACACAACCAGGTCAAAGAAAATATCGTATATAGAACAAAACAAAGGAATAACAAGTAGAATAGCAGAAAAATTAGGTCGTCATTAAGGAATTATGTTTAAGGCTTACCTTGATGGACATGGTCATGGTGGCCAGGTCTTCCTCCTCCGACTTACTGGTATTTCCCTTCACAGTTTCCTGAAATAAACAAACAGATTCAAGATCAAGCTTACAAAAGCAGAAAGATAGTTACCCATCAAAGACGAAAGATAAAAGAACCGACCTTTGGAGGAACAAAGGCCTCCTCTCTTTTTCTCTTGTTTTCAGCAGATTTTTCAGCTTGTTTATCCTGTTTCTCTCGCCATTTCTTTGCTGTCTTCTTTTGTTCACTCAAGAAGTACTCTCCAGTCTCTAGTTGAATATCAACCTTGCTGGGTTGTTGAGGAGGAGGGAATGGAGTATATTCTTTCTTTTCTTTCTTCTTAGGCTTCTTTCGCTGAACATTCTTCCTGAAAAATTATCCAACCACATCAGATGTAACTTCCCAGGAATAACATAAGTACTGAACATAAATTAACTAAGAAAAGATATATCGTACTTATTGAACTTGGGAAGAAATCTGTCCCAACTCTCATTCTTCAATGCTGGATTATTTTCAAGTTCTTTCTTCATCATCAGAATCTGCCAAGCAACAGTACACAAGAGTCCAAGGCAGATTTCAACACAACTTCTTAACGAAGGAAACCATACATAGGATGCGCAAGGAAGAATCGCAACAGAAACAGGCAAATATGCATACCTTTATATGGTGTACAGGATGCATCTTGTTTAACATGCATTCCTCTACAATCTTTCTAACTTGTTTTAAACCTTTAAATGAACCCATAGCAGCAACCGTGTGTCCCTGTTCAATAAAGAAGTCCATTTAACATCGCATTGTTCCAAGCAGCTCAGGTTGAAAAACTTGATGAGAAAGGAAAAGCACCTACCTGGACTAGAATATAACAGCCTGTCAAGATTTCAAGCGCCTGCAAACAATATAATCAGAGAAGGTAAGGCAGGGAAAAAGAGATAAGAAAAGTGATCCTTAGCTTTAGCATTCAAGTATTTGGTCGGCCCTAGATCTACAAAAAGTCGAGTTCCAGCGAAAATGATTTTCAATTACCTTTAAAGTAGATGAATTTGCCCCAACAAGATGTTGCCTTCGTTTAACGAAACGCTCCTGCAAGATAGAAACAAATTTGATGTTCTCATGCAACTGATAAGCTTATACAGAACAGAATTATTGACAAACTTCAACGTCTACCATGTTCCAAATTCCTACCACATGTTTTGAACATGCATGTGAGGTGGTGAATGATGCAAGGGCAATATGATCTAGTTAATAACATGAACTGTTTTCTTCAAGGCTTACCTTATTATGAACCATACCGCCAATCTTGATAACATCACATTGCATTTCATCATTGAGAATCTTGATAGCCTGAAACAATCAACAGAATCAAGAACTTTGATCACACCAGCAAACACGAGTGCAACCAGAATCCATATTAACGACTAGTGCAAGTTTCAGCAATAGAAACGTCCGTCCATGGAGAAGTTGCAGTTGCCTGTCTAGCATTGCACTATTATTTGACCAAATTAGAATTGTAATACAAGGAACACTGGACAAGGAATTGATCCCCTTACCTGAGGTGCAGGGACACCTCTGGATAGCAACTTAAGAAGATCCCTTGACTTGATAATTATGTAAGGGTCCCTCGTCTTTCTAGTAGTTAAGACAGTCATTGACCCCTCAACCTGATTCAGCAGTGAAGAACAAGTCACGAAACGAGACACATAAAAAGCACAGTACTTTGACGACCTGTATGGAACTTGAGGTTCTATATTACTTCTTCGGACTTGGTTTGGAGGGAAAGTTCAGGCCAGAATGACCTCAGGAGCACGTTAAATCTCACAGCTAATTATATTATACTCGAAGCTTAAATCAATGGAAATGTAAAGTAATCAGAAAAATTCACCAGGTCGAGCCTGCCTTCAATGCCATGTTCTTTCAAGGCGGATTTCACCATTGGCCAAACATCCCGTATGTACTTTTCTGGAAGTGGCGATTGAACAAACGATGAATGAATGAGCTTTAATAAAGATACCATCGATTCTTACTAACGAGCAGAGAACAATGAACAGACCTCTGTATGAAGGAAAGAGGGTTGCGAACTCGCTGACTTCAAGCATGCCGCTTTCGTTCCACGAAGGGTCGAACTTCTCGACCTTCCAATGGTCGATGTTTGGGTCGTCGTCCCATGGCTTCGGTTTGTCGTGCTTTCCCTTGTGCTTCTTCTTCTGATTGTTCGCTTCGTTTACCTCTGTTTCGACCTTGCCCATTTCGTCCGCCATGGCTGCTGTTCCGGTGAGTTCTCCGATTAACGTAGAGCGACGGACGTCAAATATCCAGAGGCGAAAACCCTAGATAAACCCCCGGAGTAGGACTGTAGGAGTACAAAACAAAATCACCAAATTGGCGAGTAGGGTTCGAACTTCGAAGCAAGTCAAGATGGATATAATAACGATTTTGACTCTTCCTTTTTCGATCTATTAACAAATGATCACTAAACTTTGGGGATCAACAAATTACTCACCAAACTTATATTTCTTTTAACAGATTTATCACCAAAGTTATTATAGCCACCTTCCATCAACTCCCCTTAGATTTTTGGCACACATAGTTCACTAGTTCAGATTACATGCAGTCTCATCCAAAGTAATGATAATATTCACACTTTTGATTATCTTATGGAAAATTCAGAATTCTCATTTAATTCATTTCTGATCAAATTCTAACTCGAATGCCACTCTAGTTTCTTCCCCATACACAATGTATACATCTAAATAAAGTGCCTATAAAATCTTTAGCAGTGAACCTATATAATATTAAGTTGGCCTCCTCATTTTTCCCCAGTGTAAATTTCTCGGACGATCACTTATGTCACTAATTGACCTATCATAAAGTAGTACGTAAAACTCTTTTGATATCTCACTTCAGAGTTATTGTCGTTAAATTTTATAGTATGGTTCTTTAAGTTTTGAGCATGGTCCATGAAAGTTGAAACCGTACCGTACCGGTTGTTCAATCACAAAATATCCGTATTGAAGGCTAAACCGATATATAATATTTAACGGTACCAATGGTTGAACTACGGTTAAATCACGATTTTGTCATAAAATACTCTACCGCTGACTTTTCCGGTACGGTTTCCTCGAACGTGGTTTTGAGGGATGCAAGCCCAGCGGAATGATCACGTCTCGTTTGAGGGTTCGGTTGCACTATCTGCAAAACACGAATTTAGCTGAACTAGTATAGCCAATCACCTTGAGCTTGTACTAAAGAAGGGAGGGTAAAAACAAGCCGCGCATGCTATAGAAAGTCGCAAAACAGTCCACTCCAGCTGAAGAGCTCAAAGGCGGGAAAGAAACGCAAGAAAGCTCCTCAATCTACAAAAAGTGAGACTACAACAGGCAATCTAACAGGCAAGGCTATTTCTTCATTCTACAAGCGAAATACAAAGGGCGACAGACATGCCCAGTACCAGGGACACTGTGTGAACCACCGTGCTCTTCAAACTGGTTCTGCCATTGTTCATTTCAGCGAGTACTCCTGCCGCGGAAATGTATATGAACCCTCCTGCCGTGAAGCCCTGTTTGGAAGGAAAATAAAGGTGGGATGAAGCAGGCGACATAGCAGGAATGTGATAGAAGCAAAATATGATCATATGTTGAAGCGTACCTCGATCAAAGAAGATTGTCCGGGATCTTTTCCCCAAAGTAAAGCCTGGTGGGGGAAAAAATCAGGATGTTTGATTTTCATTGGCATCAATGCGTGGACAGTAAATTGTCGGAGTTAAGGAACTCACCAGTGCAGTTCCAACGAGAGCGAGCAATGCTGATAGGAAGTTGAAGAAAAGAGCTTTAGATACGCTAAAACCTGATCTTACCAAGATTCCAAAGTCACCCACCTGCATACATCAATCAAACTTGACTACAATTTTCGACTCTGCAATGATCAAGGGAATTACTTGCTTTTGCTAAAAACACAGAGAGAACTAGGTCATTCTTATTTTTCTTATGATGGACCACATTAGATGAATAACTATTATTAAGTCGAAAACAGCCAAGTAGAAGTTTTCACCGAACTACAACTTCGAAAAGCAATATTCTCTGTACTGCGACTGAGAGTTGAGTCAAACCTCTTGAGGGAGCTCATGTGCAAGCAAAAAGAGAGTCCTAGACCATCCTCCCACGGATCCATAAAGCAGAAAGGCGTTACCCAGGGCCATTCCATCAGTAAAATTATGCTGCAAGTGCAAAGTCAACACAGCATATTAGGTTCAGAGGGCAGATAATTATATAGTTTCTTTGCTTTACACTCAAAGAAAACACATTCTTTTTATTAATCAACTTCTATCCTCAGAACATGTGCATTTTCTTTTGTTAAATGTAGAAACACATGTTAAAACACGCTAAGCTCAACCAATCAGCGAAGAGCACATATTTACAACACCATCAGAGAAGAGATTCAGATATCCGAACACCAGATTTGAAGATGACTTTGCAGGTTCCTTTCCCTGTGAGAGTTTAGTAGACGTAGTAGATTTGTTCGAGGTGGCTTTATCTGATTTCTCACCCTTGGAACCAGCCTTACCTTTTCTCTGCATTAATAATAAATACGGTACCACGGTCTTAAGTACTAAATTACTAATAATAAATCTGGAGAAAGCAAAGAAGGAAAATAAAGATTTTCAAAATGCCAATTCTTTTGCTTACCCTCTGAACAACGGAGTCCTTTTGACTCAACTTATCCCCATTTGACATGTTATCTGAAATTTCATCAGATGATCCATCAACATCATTGCCATCCTTCAGTTTCTCACTGCTCTTATGGTGGTGGTGATGACTATGACCCCAAACATCACCAGTAGAGTTATCCTCAACATATCTCACAAGCTTCTCAACAAGAAGAAAGACTACAATGCCCGCTACAACAACAAAACCAGAAGAGGAAAAGCAGAAAGTGAAGAGAAATCTTGACATAAAGGCTGAAAGAATAGAAAGTGAGACAGACATAAATCTTGACATTGTATCTTTCAGTTTATCATGAATGAATATATTGAAATACTTAAGCTACTGAAGCATATAAAGTTCTTCTTTTTAATCTCATATCTTCAACTTATTTTTCTTAAACGTATGCCTACCTTCACAATTTCACAAGTCCACACTCTCAAGTGATTTCAAAACCGTAAACTCAAAAGTTATAAGCCAGTTTTAAGAATAGCATGATCCTCTGCATTCATGGTAATACAAAAGATAATTTTGAGCCAATGCACATTAACCAGTGAAAAATGTGTTACGGTATTGTGCATGATATTTAGCATTGAACAGTTTGTTGCTTACCTAAAATGGATAATCCAACAGAAAGATCCTCCAAAGAATGTGAATGCCCACTTGAAGGCAAATGCAAATGCTCGTGCCCCGAATGATCATGGCTCAAATCGTCAGCATGGTGGTGTGAATGGGAGTGCGAGTGTTGTTGTCCACCTGCACAGGATTCTTTGATGGATTACTCAATAGGCAAAAAAATCTCATAAACATCCATAAGTCATAGTGATGAGCTTCTTCTTTTCTCCAAATTAAGTTCAAGATGGTTAAAACTGCGAGCTTAATTAAAAAAGTGTCCAACACTATGCATGTGATGTGAACTTCTCCATCCCATATTGCATGTCGAGTGCAAGACATTATCTATAGTCAGAGATTGTATGGATAGCATGAATGCTATTATGATGTTTTTCCCCATAGTTGCATCATTCTTAAAAGGTGGATTATAAACCACCAGGTCTTAAGGAGATTCAGCAACAGCCAACATGAATGGAAGGGTAATTACTTATTGTTGCCATCATATCAAAAGTAAGATGTAAGCCCAACATGCAATAGAGAAAATTGCTTCAATGACCGCTATCAATAAAAAGGAATTGTACAAATAGAAACTGTACAAATACATGAAATATCTAATCTAGCTGCACCGATAGTTAAATACTGGCATCATTGCATTAAGTTTAAAGTTTGAACTTTAAACAGAAGCCATAAAGTCAGCATATTTGACGACACTTGCCATTGGTATGAAAGAAGGATACATAGAATTACAAAACAAGTAACCTCAATCAGAAGCTCAGTCAAATAATACCAAGACATAACCAAGTGAGCATTTGATAACTACGAGATGGATATATCCAGTTTGTATCATTATGTCTGGGAAAGTTGTACCAAATTCTCAAAAGGAATTCAAGTTGAAGATAATATCATGGCATTGCAAAAGCAAACTAGCTACATGGAAGCATCATAATGTAAACAATGGCAAGGGAACATACCAAAGGCATGTGGCAATTGGTGAAGAAAAGCATCACCAAGCATTGCTCCGGCCTGGAAGCAGAAAATTGTATGAAAATTCAGAACAGAAAAACATGACTCCTAGAAGACATTGTATTAGTATTTTGTTAACGTTCAATACTAGAAAATTTACAAATTGGTCATTTCATTATCCTGTAGTTGCCTACTTCTCTTCTATTACGAACAAAAAGAATCTTAAAACATTTTGAGAGAAAAAAATTGTGATATGGATGAGAAAGAACAACAAAAATAACACCAAAGAAAATGCAGTTAAAAGTTTAGGCAACCACGATAAGGTATCCACAGTAAATGAAAACAAACAAGTGATAGTGATACAAGAATCTGACCCCAAATAAAGCCAATGAATCAACAACTCCCTTGGATGGCTTTCCCTGTACTGCAATCAGACAACAGATAAATCTAAGAGTCGCAATTGAAATACAACAGCATTGGCGCTATACATAGATACTTATCCATGAGTATGCAGTGAAAATTCTGCAAGCAACCAATGCCAACATCGAAAAACTGCTAACCAGTAACTTAAAATGTATTTACAACAAGAACAGAACCGCTTACCAAATATGATTGGCAAGATGATCAGGCAAATAAGGGAAGCCAAGCTCACCAAAAGTGAACAGCCCAAGGCATTGATCCATAGACCTGATAAGAGAAGAGGAAATGCAAGAAACAGAGTTATAAAAGATGAAAAGCCAGTCCCACAATTCGAAAGGAGGGAACTTATGCATAATTGGACTGCTAAAGAACTCGACTTTGCAGACTGGGCAAATAACTGAAAGGTGTCATGATGCATCCAATGGTAGAATGAGAAACAAATTAGAATGCATAAACTTTTTGCATTAAAGGGAACACATTGGAGATCAGAAAGACAACTTCTTCAGATAACAACTATGCTAAGCCTATGAACCCCAGTCATATGAAAAGGAAAAGAAATGGCGGCAATGACTGAGGGATTTCTTGCACTCACACAGATTCGGGAATTGGACAAAGATAATACCTATGCCAGAAAGCTTGGAATGCGAATCGTGATGGTGATCATGTTCATCATGAGCATGGTAATTCCCAAAGCCATAGAGTTTCATATCCTCCTCCTCCGCCAGCTCCTCCGGTAACTTATACTCCATTGACTCACCATGGCCATGGTCATGATGATGGTGGTGGTGGTGGTGGTGGTGGCCGCCACATTGGTCGCCGTCGTCGTGGTGATGGTGATGATTATGGTGGTAATGGTCGTCGGAATGATCAAGCACCGGTGAGGTACAGAGTCCATCACCGAAACACAGATCTGCGCAAAACCCAGCAGCGACCATAGCCACCACGATTAATGCAAGATGCGGCGATCTCCGCCCCATTGTTTTTGCTCACTCGAACTGCGCACAGTCGGGGAAGATAAACCACAGGGCGGCTGATGGGGGTTTTTTTTTTTTTTTTTTGGTATTCACTACTCCTTATATAAGTAGAAGATAAAAACCCCTGATATGGTTTACTGGTATGTTTCAGGTGAATTCAATCCAATACCAGAAAAAGAAAAGGCAGATGGAGGGATCTGAATAACGAAATTGGGGGAAAGTACCAAGAAACGGCGCTGACTGAATAGAGTGACTAGTGAGTGAATAAGTGTGTCGGAGTTAGGTTTAGCTGCTGCTGCGACGGCGGCGAGCGCCTTCGATGGTGATGAAGCAAACGGAGATGAAGACGAGGATAATTATGGCAATCATGGCGCCGAACAGAAGGATTATCATCCATGGCGGGGTTCTCTGCGAGAAAGAAAGCATCAGAATTGCAGATGGAAACGTTTCGTGTTTCTTTCTTCTCTCGCTTTTTATGAATGCCACAGTTCAGTTCACGTTTAATGAGTTTAGCGACCGCCCCAAATAAAGATAAAAGCCCACAACTAACTTGGGCCTGAACTAATCAAAATCCAACTCCCACGGGCCATGGTAATTGTGACATCCAACAGAACACGTTGTGGTGTGTACCGATATCATCTACACATAATATAATACTCCGAAAGGAAAAACGGGAGCCTCATTTCAAATTTCCTGCAACGAGAGTGAAAGTAGGAAGGACATTTTGGTCTTCACAATTACTTTTTTTTATTCATTAAAAAGACAGGTACTAGGACTCGAACCATGAGCATTTTAAAGAAAAGCAAGGATCATAACCAATCACACTAAGTAAAATTGTTGTATCTTTTTAAATTAAAAACATATAATAGCTGGGAGGAAAAACCCTTCCCCAATTTCAAATTCTCTGCTCCAGGAGCGTTTGTAGGAAGGGTAGAATAGAGAGTGTCAATTTTTTTCTCTTTCCTCTGTGGAACTGGCCAACTTACCGTACACATGCGGATTTGAACGGGTCCAGGAGTGTCAATTTTTTTCTTTACGCCCTTTTATTTTTCCGTGGTGATAAAATATATATGAAAAGACAACAATAATACTTCTTTTTATTGCTAAAAATAAAAAATTTAACAATAAACTAATGCATGATATCTAATGGGCTAACCGCTAACCATAAAATAAAAGAGTTGAATGGGCCTGACCTACATGAGATTTGGCCATCAAGTAAAACAAATGAACATCATTGGTTTGTCATTCTAAAACAAACTATTTTCTCTCGCATAATATATATTATGCTATTATTTTATATCTTAGTGACTAAAATATAATGTATTTTAAAGTTATTCAATGGTTCAACCTCGACCAACCCAATTAGTCCAATTTTATCATTTCAAATATATATTTTATAATTATTTGACATCATAATGATCAAATTATAGTGTATTTTATAGGGAATCGTTTGGTATTTGTTAGTAAAAAACTAAACATAAAGATCTATTTAGTTATTTTAAACATTAAAACGATCCTATACATTTTCAGTTCCTTTTGAATTTCAATGGTTTTATTCCCGAATAAGTGATGTGCAAATGGCGAATTGAAGTCGTCTCTTTTCTTTCACTATTTTTTATTTTCAAATAGAAAATTTAAAAGTAAAGAATAATTAGAATTTGGCATGGGTCAGTCAAACAGGCTGAATTTCAAGTTTTGGCCCGTTTGTTTTATGCATTGCAAATTTATTAGCATGTTGATGGAAATGGTTTGGAAAAAAGACATAAGTTGTACCTTTGCAGAAATGTCCTCAAATGTTTGAATGCTTTGTGAATCAGGTTCCGTGACTTTTGTGATGGTGTATGTGCTTGACGATTGCTCGATGTTGTAACTACTTAATTTGAGAGTAAATCTTTTGATTTTCCCTATGAGTTGTGATACCAGTTCTGGTGGTTGCAGCATGTTGTCGTTGTTGGCCTGTAAAAGTTGTTCCGCCGTGATGCTAAATACATTTCTTTCTTTTTTAACAAATTGTGTAGTAGTGCTATGAAATAGACCACCCATGAACGCTACGCTTATTATGGTCTGTTCTTACTTCCGATGGTGAGAAATTGTGAATTGAGAATCATATTCGCCTACCGCACTGTGTCTGGCTGGTGGCTGCTTACTGTGCTCTCTAGAGTTATGAAACAGACTACCCATGAACGTTACCCTTAAGAGTCCATAACTTTGCGAAAAACCAAATTTAGGCAATCAAAGGTGGTGGATGTGTGATGATTTTTTATGGCTTAATTGTTTGTGAATTGGATATCTGATCTTTGTATGATTAGAGGGTATGTTTGCTTAATAGAATAATCCATTTTAATTCATGTTTATTTTTAACATGAACTTTAGTAACTCAAAACCTTCGAGACACATATCACCTACTTCATTGTATCATTTTGCCTGGGTGCTTGATGTGTTGTCAAACTTCTTTGCTGCTGCTGCTGCTGCATTTACACTAACAGGAGAGTTAAGAACCCATGAATGTTTCCATTTGACACAAACAAGAGGGCTTACTTCTAAATCGTGCACTAAAGATGATTGGAGGAAACATCTCTGTTGCAGTTGATATACTGGAGACCATAACAAAAGCAACGTATAACATCAAAACCAACCATCTGAACTATTAGCATTGTTGCTTTACTCTTTTTTCGTGGTTGAGTCTCCTTCAAAAAATTTAGTTTGATTTTAGAAAATTTTGCTTCTGCAGTCCTGTCTTGCCACCAACGCGTTCAATAGATGGAGATGGCAGAGGCGAAGGCTATTTTTGTGTTGTTGTTGCTGGTTTAGGGATCGGTTTGTGAAGAGGGAGAAGAGAGGGGGAAAGGGAAATGCAGAAGAGGGGGATAACTCTTTTCTCCGACAAAAATGGAGTGAAGAAAGGAATTATGATCAGTAAGGATATGGTTATCTTACATAATGGTCTCTATTCTGTTTGAATTGAGCTTGGGAGGCAGTGATAAGGACGAGCTGCAACCAATTCATAGTGATAAGAGTGCTATGAACTGTGATCATGTCTTATTTCAAGTTAGAAAGTAATTTCAGTATAAGGATTATTTCATTTGAAAAGTTTTTTCGTCCATGATTCTTGGTAGTTTCAGTGCCATTCTAGCCATTGTTTAGTTTGTAATTTTTTAGAATTGATGTGCGAGTAATGACTTTCACTTAGCTTCAACTATTATGTGTGTATTTATTGGCATGTGATAGAATTCTCTTTTCCTTTTCTTTGAACTCAGTTTCATACTCTAATTGTATCATTTGTACATAGGCAAATCATGCTCGAGATGACAACTCGCTGATATGGCTGGTGCAAGGAATGAAGCCATCATTAGAATTCAGACCGACAACGGGGAGGGATGCCCAGGACTAATTCAATGATGATTGATGATGGTATAATGAAAACTGCAGTCTGCATCAGCACCAATTTCTAGGCCTAAGTAAAGGTATTCAACCCAGAACTTTGCTTAGCGCTAAAAATTGCCCTCACCTAACCTTGATCCTGTTTGACCCACTTATGAAGAGTCAAGATATATGACTAATCCTCTCCGTTCGTATTTTCTTTATTACTCTTTCTGACCCTTTAGGTTGGGGCGGGTCGGTCCTAATCAAGTGGGATCCCAATCCCTTCACTCTCACTTGCTTGCTCTCCCATTCCACAAGTGGATAATATATTTTATTCGTTAAAAAGATATGTACTGGGATTCGAACCATGACCATTTTAAAGAAAGGCAAGGATCATAACCAATCACACTAAGTACATTTGTTGTATCCTTTTAAATTAAAAACATATAATAGTAGGGTGGAAAAAACTCTTCCCGCATTTCAAATTCCCTACTCCAGGAGCGTTTGTAGGAATGGTAGAATAGCGAGTATCAATTTTTTTCTCTTTCTTCTGTGGAACGGACCAACTTACCATACACATGCGGATTTAAACGGGTCCAGGAGTGTCAATTTTTTTCTTTATACCCTTTTATTTCTCTGTGGTGATAAAATATATATGAAAAGGCAAAAATAATACTCCTTTTTATTGTTAAAAATAAAAAATTTAACAATAAACTAATGCATGGTATCTAATGGGCTAACCACTAACCATAAAATAAAAGAGTTGAACCTACATGAGATTTGGCCATCAAGTAAAACAAATGAACATCATTGGTTTGCCATTCTAAAACAAGCTATTTTCTCTGGCATAATATATATATTATGCTATTATTTTATATCTTAGTGGCTAAAATATAATGTATTTTAAAGTTATTCAATGGTTCAACCTCGACCAACCCAATTAGTCCAATTTTTATCATTTCAAATATATATTTTATAATTATTTGACATCATAATGATCGAATTATAGTGTATTTTATAGGGAATCGTTTGGTATTTGTTAGAAAAAAACTAAACATAAGATCTATTTGGTTATTTTAAGCATTAAAACGATCCTAAACATTTTCAGTTCCTTTTGAATTTCTATGGTTTTATTCCCGAATAAGTGATGTGCAAATGGCGAATTGTAGTCGTCTCTTTTCTTTCACTATTTTTTATTTTCAAATAGAAAGTTTAAAAGTAAAGAATAATTAAATTTGGCATGGGTTGGTCAAACAGGCTGAATTTCAAGTTTTGGTCCGTTTGTTTTATGCATTGCAAATTTATTAGCATGTTGATGGAAATGGCTTGGAAAAAAGACATATAAGTTGTACCTTTGCAGAAATGTCCTCAAATGTTTGAATGCTTTGTGAATCAGGTTCCGTGACTTTTGTGATGGTGTATGTGCTTGATAATTGCTCGATGTTGTAACTACTTAATTAGAGAGTAAATCTTTTGATTTTCCCTATGAGTTGTGATACCAGTTCTGGTGGTTGCAGTATGTTGTCGTTGTTGGCCTGTAAAAGTTGTTCCGCCGTGATGCTAAATACCTTTCTTTCCTTTTTAACAAATTGTAGTAGTGCTATGAAACAGACCACCCATGAACGCTACACTTATTATGTTCTGTTCTTACTTCCGGTGGTGAGAAATTGTGAATTGAGAATCATATTAGCCTACCGCACTGTGTCTGGCTGGTGGTTGCTTACTGTGCTCTCTAGAGTTATGAAACAGACTACCCATGAACGTTACCCTTAAAAGTCCATAACTTTGCGAAAAACCAAATTTAGGCAATCAAAGGTGGTGGATGTGTGATTATTTTTTATGGCTTAATTGTTTGTGAATTGGATATCTGATCTTTGTATGATTAGAGGGGATGTTTGCTTAATAGAATAATCCATTTTAATTCATGTTTATTTTTAACATGAACTTTAGTAACTCAAAACCTTCGAGACACATATCACCTACTGCATTGTATCATTTTGCCTGGGTGCTTGATGTGTTGTCAAACTTCTTTGCTGCTGCTGCTGCATTTACACTAACAGGAGAGTTAAGAACCCATGAATGTTTCCATTTGACACAAACAAGAGGGCTTGCTTCTAAATCGTGCACTAAAG